ACATGCTGGGTGTCCACAGTCGAACTGTCTGGTCTCTGGATGAAGATGCCACTAAGGAACCACTTGGAGAAAAATGGACTCCTGTAATGATATCTGTGTGACCCACAAATCTGAATGCTCTGGCTTTAGGAGTGAGGTTCCAGATCATAAGGTTCTTGTCACAGGATCCAGTAGCTGCAAGAGAAGTTGCAAGTGGTTAAACTGGGATCTTCTCAGACTGGAAAAAGATGATAAATATGACATACCAAGCTGTTTATTATTGGGGCTGAAATCGGCACAGGAAACAACATCTTTGTGACCTTTAAAATGTCTTTCAAGGGTGGGATCCTCCTGAAAAGGATATTGTAGAAGAATAAGGTGGAAAAATTTGAAGTCCAAAAGTCTGGCAGAATTAGAATGTTTATTTTTTTAATTTTTTATTTTATACAAGTGTATTGTTTTTTGTTTTGTTTTTCAGTACGATTGATATTTTTAACATAATAATGTGAGTGAACATTCTTTTAAAAATTAAAAAACAATTGCTTTTTTAGATTAACTGATTGATAATTTGGTATACCAAATTCTACAGCATTCTAATTAATACTAATAGTATTCTAATTTATTTCTATAGCATTTTACTCTACAGAAGAACACGGTAATGCATGATAATACAATGGTATATTTTCTAAACATCATGATACGTGGTGCATGTTCAACAAACGATGGTAATAGTACATGTACAAAATACCATGATGGTAGTAATATGTCTAAAACTAAGCTAATTCTATAGTGCTTTTGTTAGTGCTAATGTAGCAGGTGTTGATTATAAATTGGTTTATTGTAAATTCAGTCAAAATCCTTATGTTTTTCTGTTGGTAAATAATGTATATATATATGTGAGAAAAGAAAAGAAAAAGATTTATTTTAGTTCTTTACGAGTTCCGTGCGCGTCGCCGTTGTGACGTCACTGGCGCGCTGCGCGCTTTTGCTTCAGTCCGCGGGAGGTCTGAGCAGAGCGAGGTATGCATTTTGTTCAGTCTTGTTCAGAAGAGTGTTCAAAGGGAAATCATCACCAATTACTTGATCAGTGTTTTGTTATGATGTGCAAATGAGTTAAAGAGTATTCAAAGGGAAATCATCACCAATTACTTGATCAGTGTTTTGTTATGATGTGCAAATGAGCTACATGAATATGTTACCTTTTTCTTAGAACTGAGTTTAAAGCTGTTTTAACCTGCAAAAGTGTAGTTTTAACCGAGAGAATGCAGTGTGACGTTGTCAGCGTGAAAATTAGCCTGTGAAAGTTAGCCTATGAAGCGTGGCTGCTGATTTATCTTTTTTTGTGTGAATGTTTAGCAGGAGAGCTGCAGTCTTTAGCCTCCTTGTTAGTGCGTCTGCCTCCCATGCCGGAGACCCGGGTTCGAGACCCACTCGGAACGAGAACGAGGTGTGGCGATGAGGACCTGGGAGAGAGGGGTTACATTGGTGCCGTGACCCGGATCCTTCAGAAGGATCAACGTCAGATTGACCGCCGGATGTTGCTGAGTACTGCATTTTTCATTGCGTGGGCTGGGTTGGACTCTTCTTTTCCTGACTAATCTGCTGGAGAGAGGTACAAAGACTGAGTATTGCGAAACACCAGTAAAAAAAAAAAAAAAAAGGACTACATAATCTTGTCTAGTGGAGACCTACAGAGACTCAAGTTTTTTTCTTCCTTTTTTTATTTTTATTTTTTTATTTTCTCCATTTCAAAAAAAAAATTTCATTGTCATATTGTTACAAATATTTTTGTAAAAATGTCATATACTTATGTTGTTGAGGATGCTCAGGATGATGCAGACATTGGTGGGGGGAGAGGCCAGTTCTTTAGAGATATGGCTCATGCACCCGGAGCTATGGGTATTGCTGACTCTCCAGTGTTTTGTTCCACACGCATAAAAACTGAGCATCAGGTTCCCAGGTCAGACACAACTTCCACTGACTTAAGTTACCTTATTACACAGTTAGCTCATGAAATAGGACAATCAATTTCAGCACAGCTAATGAAGGGAAATTAAAAGGAGGAAAAAGTAACTAACAGCCAGAGTGTAGGTCTAGAACCACTTGTCTCAGATACCCCTGGGTGAAGACAAAGCCAGGCCCATCGCTTTTGCAAGCAAAACACTTAGTACCTCACAGAAACGATACCCGGCTCACCGTGTTGAATTCTTGGCTTTAAAGTGGAGTGTTTGCGAGAAGTTTAGTCATTGGCTTAAAGGAAACACGTTCACCGTATGGATGGATAACAATCTGTTGACATACATAATGACTAAACCAAAGCTAGACGCCTGCGAACAGCGCTGGGTTGCAAAGCTAGCCTCTTACACCTTTGAGATACGACACATAGCAGGAAACAAGAACGTGGTGGCTGATGTTCTTAGCCGCGATCCTTTTACAAAGACAATCAGCCATAGGTTGCTCTATGAACGGTATAAGTGTCTGCTATCTGAGGCTGAAGGAGTTAGTGAGGAAGGGATCCAGGACACATTCAGACTGAAAGTTCAATGTCACCACCAGGAGTCAGAGACTGACCCGAGAAATGTCCTTCCAATAGTGAGTTCAGGTATTTGTGATGTTGGCGAAGTTCATGCCCTCTGTGAAGCTTATAACAAATGGGAGCTGGCAGCAGAGTCCCGAGCAGTGCAGTTGATCCAATCTGTTCAGCAGTTTGCACCATCTAGTCTAGACACGTTACCAGAACTCTCCCTGGAGGAACTCCAACAAAGACAGGAACAAGATCCTAGCATATCCATGGCTGTTCCTTTTGTGATTCGCAGAAGAAGACCTTCCAGACGGGAGAAAGCAAACCTCAATCCAAGTGCACTTTTTCTCAGTAAGCAATGGGAGAGACTTACGTTCTTGAATGGCATACTCTATAGGGTAATCAAAGACCCAACTGGTAAGCAGAAGAGATATCAATATGTCCTTCCCCAGAGTCTTAAGGCCAAAGCGTTGAATGGCATTCATGATCTTGCTGGACACCAAGGTCAAGCAAGAAAGCTTCATTTAGCAAGGCAGCGGTTCTATTGGCCTAAGATGGAGCAAGACATCAAGTCCTATGTCAAATGTTGCCAAAGATGTATTCTCACTAAATCACCTAAACCATCTGCTAGAGCCCCATTGGAGAGTATCAGAACTTCAGCACCCATGGAACTGGTATGCTTGGATTTTTGGAATGCAGAAGACTCTAAGCAAAACTCTGTTGACGTGTTGGTAGTTACGGACTACTTCACAAAATTAGCCCATGCATTTCCGTGTGCCAATCAGACAGCTAAGCAGGTGGCCAGAAAGCTGTGGGATCACATTTTTTGTGTTTATGGATTCCCTGAACAAATACACACCGATCAAGGTTTTTCTGTTGGTAAATAATGTATATATATATATGTGAGAAAAGAAAAGAAAAAGATTTATTTTAGTTCTTTACGAGTCGGCGTTGTGACGTCACTGGGGCGCTGCGCGATTTTGCTTCAGTCCGCGGGAGGTCTGAGCAGAGCGAGGTATGCATTTTGTTCAGTCTTGTTCAGAAGAGTGTTCAAAGGGAAATCATCACCAATTACTTGATCAGTGTTTTGTTATGATGTGCAAATGAGTTACATGAATATGTTACCTTTTTCTTAGAACTGAGTTTAAAGCTGTTTTAACCTGCAAAAGTGTAGTTTTAACCGAGAGAATGCAGTGACGTTGTCAGCGTGAAAATTAGCCTGTGAAAGTTCGCCTATGAAGCGTGGCTGCTGATTTATCTTTTTGTGTGTGAATGTTTAGCAGGCTTGATTGTACAACGAATAATTAACTGCATGTTTTCTGCTGATGCAGGTACAGTTTCTTATGTGTTTTCATAATTTCTCTGTGTGTTCAAACTTGAATTGGTTTTCATGTATATACAAAATGCTGGAAATGTTGAATTCATTAAGTGAAGTCTTTTCTATAACACATCTTCTGCATATGTAGTTATGTTGAATTTGAAGTGATCATTAGTTGCTACTATTTTCTTTATATTATTTCTTCATCTTGTAAAATATGAAATTCTCTGTATTGTGAACTCTTGCTTCAGTCCGCGGGAGGTCTGAGCAGAGCGAGAGCACTTAACATAAAAGGCAACTGAACCAGCAGACTGACTCCAGTGTTTATTCCACACCCCACATCACAACGCAGAGGGGTAGTCGAGCCGTGAAGGGCTGAACCGGCTACATTAGTTCATTGTATAGTTTTTGGTCAATCCGAACAAATATAGCCAATATACTGTATGTACCCCCATATACAAACGTAAACACAAAACGTTCCAGCACAGTTCGCACAGAGCTAATTAACCCAACAACTGATGTCCATATTCGCATTTTAAAATGTTTCTGATGAGTCCTTACCATTACAGACACCATTATTCCGATAAAAGTCCAAAAAGTTTCTGAATTTGGTACAGTTTGGTCTTGGATTTACAAGTAAATAAGTGAAACTCCTTCATGTTGAGCCACTTCCCATCTGTCAAACCAGGCGCGTTTCAGCTAAATCACCCTCAGAATCATCGAGTCAGCGTGGCTAGCCGAAAAATTAACCCCAAATCCCGTTTCATTCTAAATATTTACATGTAGAGCCCTGTTTGGACTGACAAAATACTAATTTGGACATATAAACGTCTGCACCAACGGAAACCGCTAATGTAACCCATCCTAATGCAACAGAAGGCGTGCTGGGATTAAATCTAAAATTTGCAAGCTTGTCTTGCAAAGATTATACTGTATGTAGAGCCAGTGAGTTAATTTACATATCCCAGCCAAATATTTTAAACAAATGACTTGTGAAATTACTGGTAAAATACATATCGATCTGCAAAAGATTTTTATAATAATAATAATACGGTCAACGGCTCTCTGTCACTGCACAGTTGTAACCATAGGATAAAACAGCATTGGAAATAACGCCGTTGCTTAGTAACAACCCAAACGGTAAACTAGTAGAACTCAATATTGAGATAGTAAGAACGCAGTCACTGATTGGATCATCAAATCAACGGACCAATCAGTAAAGGCGTTGCTCAAAGAGGCGACGCTTTTGAGTTTTGATTTTGGAAGCTAACGTTAGCCGCCGAAGCTCAGCTACTGGAAGATGTCGGTGAAGCGGGGGATTGGCGACTCTGAGGTCAGTGGTTTTATTTTTATGCAAAGTGCAATTTGCAAAACGTGATGGTTACTAATTTAAAAGCTAGCTCAGGGATTTGTGACATGGAAAGCTGCGGTTTAAAGGGAATGTGACACCGGTGCTGTTGCTCCTCTGTTGCCATCACATACATGCCTGTCTGCCTGACCATCAACACCAGTTTACGGCTGATGCTTTCGTGTTGTATTAATTTGTAACAATGCCTATCAATAAATTAACCTTCTGTCTAATCTAATGAATGTTATTAGAGCTTACGGTGGCTTTTATGAACACTGATGATGCTCTATTAAATTCAATGTTTGTTTCATAGAGATCATGTTCTCAGATGAGCCACTGCCAGTGTTTAACCACCGGTTACACTGATCCCAAAAACAAAACAGACAAAACATTCATTACTTTAGTTACCACTCATTTTATAATAATTATCGTAGTTACGCAATGCATTTATCTGTAGAATGCTTTCTTAAAATTGGTGGTACTTTCCCCCCAGTATTTAAAGAAGAGGATTCCACAGAATCCAAAATATCAACATGTAAAAACACGACTTGATACAGGTATTCACCTTTTGTGAAATCATTTTTGAATATCCATTGCGATAAAGTATATGATGATTAACCTAGTTTATTTTCTAGGCTCCAGCCTGACAAAGTACATGGAGAGACTAGAGGAGGCAAGGAAAAGTAAGTTATAAATGAAATAATTTCAATATATTATAGTGGAGAAATATATTTGATAAATAAAAATGTCATGGTGCATTTACTTGAGAAGTAAAGGGTGATTCTAACTAACATTTTTTTACAATTGCAGACATTTGAAAAACACATCTCAGTGGTGTATTTACATTAAAAAAGTAATTACAAAACAGTGCAGAATGACACAAAAATGCATCTTGTGTGAACAGGCACTTAATGACTTGTTTCAGCTATTTTGTCTCCAGATACGCTTGTCCTACTGATATTTACTTACTTGATAAGGAGAGAAAGTCTCCTTTGTCCACATTGGTCATCTTGTTACAGGTTCCTTGTGATTTCTCAAGGATAAGCAATCCTTTCTTCTTTTGGCTACATGAGCTGAGGATGGTGATTGTACAGTAGATTACAGTAATTCCTCTGTCGAGGCTGTCTGTAGTGAAACTGAGATACATAACCTCACCGAGTGGTGTCACTTGGCATCTTACAGTGGGTTTGGTGGTGAGGCTGGACTATGGATTCTTGCCAAAGATATAAAGAGATGTTGGCAGAGCTCGCCTCATTTTGTAGCAGCAATTGGCGTATTAAAGTCCAGTTTAGAGAGTTTAACCAGTATGCAAATGGAGTTTGATATTTTGGGAGTGAATTTAAGTGATTTGTCTTTAAATGAAGATGAAGTGAGAAATTGTAAAACTCAGGATCCAGGTAAAATGCATCTAAATTGTTGCAAAATTTTTGTTCAGCAGCTCTGCATAATTTGAAATGCATGCTTATTATGTCCTGTTTTTTCCAGACTACAGATATAGGAAGGACGAGCTATTTAAAAGACTGAAAGTGACTACATTTGCACAGCTGGTATGTGAATAATAAATTAAATAAAGCATAATCTTTACTTTCAGTTGTAGTACTGTAAAAACACTATTTTTGTGAAATATTATTACAATTTAAAATGACTGTTTTCTTTTTAAATATAATTCTGTATGTAATTTATTAATGTCATGGCAAAGATGAATTTTCAGCAGCCATCTGTCACATGATCCTTCAGAAATCATTCTAATATGCTCATTTGCTGCTCAAGAAACATTTCTTCTTATTATCAATGCTGAAAAGAGTTGTGCTGCTTAATACTTTTGTGGAAAAGTTTGATTTCATTCATTTGAAATATTTTTTGTAACATTATAAATGCCTTTACTGTGTCATTGCTGAATACGTTTTCATTTCTTTTACAAAAAATCTTTGACCACAAACTTTTGAACAGTTGTATATTTTAATATATTCCTGAATATATGCCTTTATATTTTATATGTCTTATCTTTTTTTCAGTTAATCCAAGTTGCTTCAGTGTCAGATCAGAATGACAACTTTAAAGATGAAATGGCGGGATTAGAAGGTAGAGTTTCATTTCTCTTTTATGTTACTTTATTTGTTTTTATTAGTAATTTTTGCTGACATTATTATTATTATTATTATTATATTTGAATTTGCTTATATTTAGGAACAATGATTTGAACAAAGCCCTATCCCAAATAATTAAACTTAGCAACCATTCATAGCACCCTAACAGCCACGTGTTAACTCAGGGCACTTTAGTACAGAGCCCCTAACGTGACACTGATGGAACAAAATATAAGATGGGAGAAAAAAAATATTATATCGCAATGCTTTTGTGTTGCTCACAATACTTTTGCGTTCACTCGAGTAAACATTTTTTTTACTTGC